TTTTTTTTTTTTTTTTTTTTTTTTGTGTGTGTTGTATTGTTTGTTTTAATTTGTAAGTATCTTTCATATAGCTTCTAATTGGAAAAAAACAAATCCCAAACAGCCAGCCCAAAACCCCCAGTGATGTCATGTGTCTGCGTATAAAAGGATGAAATCTGCCCTGAGTCAAAAATCACCCCAGTGACCCAAATCATTCAGGTTTTATTATTTATAAAGTTTTAATTTTTGTATTTCACTCATTCCAAATGCTGAAAAAGTCCAAATTTTTATTTTTGAAAAAAAAATCTTCATTTTAAAATGGACTGTGTGATTGGAGAAATGTGAAAATTGGCATCTCATCAACAGAGACATTTCCCACCAGGGTCTTTATCTGCTGACTCTAGTCTGCTGCAGCCCAAACCAGATAAAGTCTTAAGAACTGATTAGGCTTGTGTCAACCTTTGTTGCAAGCTTTGGGCTATTTTTAGTGTGTTTCCTTTAGAATTCATCCCCACTAGGTGCTTTGACATAGGAAGAGGATTGGACTCCCCCACAGCCTTGCTAACCTCCCTGCGCAGGGGGCTGGGGCGGGGGCTGTGCTGAGCCTGGCAGAGCTCCCCAGCCGTGGGGTCGCTAACCAGGGCAGGGGCTGAGCCTGGATGCGACCCATCTGCAGTCCCTGTCGTCTATTTTCTTGTACTTTGGGTTGCTGCAGATCAGCTAGACTCCTTGTCCCAGTAAATGCCTATGTTAAACAGACACAAATTTCAAATCATATTAGTGAGTGTCAAATTATCGAATAATGAATATAAATCCCCTGTGCTATCACTTGCTCTGTTGCTGCTAAGAGATGTTTATGACATTCCTGTGATGTGCTACTCATCTGTGCCGGTATGAGTGCTTTTTCTATTAAAATTTTAATTCAGATCCTTAAATCTTAATGTTGGTGTTTCATGATGCCTCAGGGCCTAAAAATCATACAGTGACAAAAAAGATGTGCAATGGAATTTGTACAGTGCCCACTGACTTTTGAGGAATATGCCCAATGAATATTAAACAAATGGCTAAAACTCATGGGGAATCTTGCTTTCCTGAGTTTTTTTCTCTTTTCCAATCATCTCTTTTCATTTTTTTTTTTATTCTTCCCATTGGAGTTTTATTTTCTATTGTAAGGGTACCACTCATACAGTGTACCTTCAAAAGTGCAGGACACTGATGATTTTTTAGAGATTTACTTTCAAAACAAAACTAACAGAGCAAGCTTAGATTTTTCTGAGCAGTTTTTTGTCATTGCCAGGAGATAGGCTGCATTTTTCTCTAGGGCAGTCTGGTACAGGTAAGAGGAAGTGTGGCCTTGTAATAAAAAGTATCACCAGCTGTACTGCAGTTCTGAAATAGTACATTAAATCCAATAGCTGGTGTTTTTTTGTGTTGTGGTTTGTTTTTTTTTTTCTGGTTTTTCATTTTTTTTTCCATGGCCAGGAGTGTTTATTAAAATTAGTTGATGGAAATCTGTGGTGATTTCACTAATTAATACCTAGCAGGGAGTTTCAGACTGCCTGCTGTGTGGAGGGAGTCAGGGATGGCCAGCCATGTGAGCACACAGACCGTGCTGCACAGAGAATTATTAATTACCCACTGCCATAGCTGTTAGCTTGGTTACATTTGGTTATGATACGCCATTACATTTTGCTGACAGTACAAGTGTGAGGGGGGAAATGACACTTTCAGATTTGATATCTTAGTCAACCCAGGATGCAATTTGATCCAGCAAGGAGGAGGCATTTCCCTGGCCCCAGGAATCCTGGCTTGCGGATTTAAGCAGCCTCCTCTGGAACAAAGAGAGGGATGGATGTTTCTCAAAAAATTGTGCAGTTTTGACTGTGCATGAGATTAAGCAAATAAAATCAGCTTTTCGTAACTAATGGGAAAAAACCCCCGTGTGCTAGCTCCCATGCAAGTGAGCCATTTCTGTTCACAGAACAGCATGCCATTGATTTGATATGGATTGTAATCTCAGAACTAAATATTTATTTTTAAAATATATATAAATATAATTGCACTAATGTAATGGCCCCAGCTTCATTCTCTGGCAAACTTTGGGGACCCAGTCTCAAGAAATCCTCGCTTGCTCTTCAGCTAGGGCTGGATCTTTAGGAAGAGCAGAATTAGGAATCAAATCAGAAAATGACTTTCCCCTCTGTATAGAAATGTGTGTGTATATATAATAAATTGAAACGCCTTCTTTGTAACTCAAATTTTAAATGGCTCTAATTAGCATATAATTTAATGACTGATGATATTTGTTCTGTTGTGTTCTTATTACACAAATTTTAATGAGTAACTCTTTTTCTGATAACTGCTTCCATTGACTGAATGGGTCAGATCCAATGCATGAGAGGTTTTAATAAAAGTTTTCAGTTCAATATTATTTTTGAGATGAAAACAAATACTAGCATAATCTTTCTATATAAAAAGGTGGGTTTTTTTAACAGTAATTCCACGTGCAGTTTTGTACACTAAAGCTAGAACAAAATTCACTGATCCTTGCGTGCTTCTGAAAGGAAACCTCATCATAATATTTA